CAAACCATTTCTCCTAGAGTAAAGTTATAGTTGGCATATGTCCTGCCTTCCAAGATTTTCCAGGTGATAGTTTATGAAGTGTCTTTCAATAGTATAATATGGGCCATCAGCTTTCCATCCTCCAATACCTGAGTCTTTCTTGCTTATGGACTGATGAAATCAACATTAGATAATTTAAATTCTCTCATGGGTAGCAATTTATTTTCAAATTCTATATTGGTTAAAATTAGGTTTGTGTGCCAAGCATGGTGGTGCATGCCTGTAATTCTAGCTACTTGGGAGGCTGAGGTAGGAAGATCACAAGTTCAAAGCCAGCCAGCCTCAGTAACTTTGTGAGGCCCTAAGCAACTTGTTGAGAACTTGTCTCAAAATTAAATAATAATAATAATAATAAAGGCTGGGAATGTGACTCAATGGTTAAGACCCTCTGGGTTTAATTCCTGGTACTAAAAAAACTATTAGGTTTGTGTTTGTGCAATGAAAATCCAGTTAGCATTGATGTACCATAACTATTTTCTGCTTTATCATTAACTCCTAGAAATCAGTAATTCAGAACCATTATTTCTATTCTGCTCTATGAGGTCACACAGGAATGATCTGGACACTCTGGATCATCCACCTTGTTGCTTCACTATCCCTAACTTGTTTCCCTCATTTGCATCATCTAAGATGGCTGCCTACAACATCCACATTATAAGAAGCCACATGGAAGTAGATGGGAGGAAGGGGAATAGCTCCACTGTTTAAGGACATGTGCTGCCAGAGATTGCATGCCTCACTTTCTCTCACATCTCATTGACTTAGTCATAGGTTCACACTTAACTGCAGTGGAGTCTGGGAAATATAATAATTTTACAGAGTGGTGGATGCCCAACTAAAAATGGAGAATCTGTCACTATGAGATGAGGCAAGTGGGGAAAATGTATTGGGAATATATTGCAATTGCTAAACTCTGATGATAATAGAAAGAAGTAATTGTTAGTATTAAAAAATACCAAATGAAATAAGAAAAACATACATTTAAACTACACATAACACAAGTGTCAGAATCTTGTCTGAAAAGAATTAATGGTTTTCTACATTGTAGACCCCTGTTGATTCCAGAAGTATAACCTGAAGGAACCTTCTCTGAGGGGAATTATTCTCCTGCAGAATAAACATTAAATGAATAAGCCTATAAATCAGTAAGATAATTTCTGACTGTGCTAAGTAGTATGAAGGAAATAAAGCAATGTAGTATAATACAGTGTATGCCTCTCTGTGTCTCAATTGACTCATCTGTATAATGAAGACACACAGGTTTACAATTCCAAAATCCCAAAGCTGAAAGTTGTGTCCTAACTCAGTTGAAAGCAATATGTCATGATCTGAGTTGCTCTCTGGGCCCCAATATGTATCATATATACAGGGTATATGTGTCATGTTACCTTCTAAAATCAGTAAAAATCTGAAATCCAAAACACAAAGGTTTTGGATAAGCGACTGAAAACCATTAGAACCCTCTCATTTGGTTATTGTGAGGATTAAATGAGTTAGTATATATAAAGTATTTAAAATTATACCTGATAAATGCTTTCTAAGTTCACTCCTATTACTATCATCATCAATACTACTACATAGGAGGTTATTTAGATTAGTTGGTCAGGGAATTCTTCTCTGCAGATTGTCACCTGAGCAGACCCCTAAGAGGTGGTAATGACCTGGCCATGGGAAGAGAAGGAGAAAGAAAATCTCAAAAAGAGGGAACACCAAGTATCAGGATTGAGAAGGTTACAAGCTTGGCTCCAATGCAGAAATGAAAAGAGGTGGCCAGATGGCTGATATGTGTTGAAAGAGGGGGAAAATGGTTCAAGGTTAGAGAGGTAGGCTGGAAGCAGAATATACACACACTAAGGAATGGAAAAACTTTGGATTTCATTCAGAGTGTAATTAGGAAGTCAGTTGATTGGATTTGTGTTTATAGAGAATGCTTTGATGCTGATTAATAAATGAATTTTAGAGAAGGGGAAGCAGGGAGATCCATTTAGAGTCCACTGCAGGAGTCCAGGTAAAATTGAATGACTACTTGGATTAGAAAGGTGGGAGTAGATGAGCAAAAAAGTAGATACATAAAGAGAAAATTTAGAAGGTGGTAAAAGTTTTCTAATTAATTTTACACTTGAATTTATAACACCAGTATGTAAAAACTAAAACTTTCAGTCATTGTCAGGTGTGTTAAACCAAGTGGTATGATGCACTCAGTACATACAGGCTTTACAAAAGCAATTCTGTATATCTCTCCCCATCGCACAAGTAGCTTGAAATAGGCCATGGTGAAAATATTTACACCATGGACATTGACACCTGCTATGAATCAGGACTTGACAAGTGAGAGCATTTTGCTGGCAGGGGAGAAGGAAGGCCAATCATTAAACATTTATCTGCACACCACTGGTTAAGATGTGACTTTATTTTCTAAAATAATACTTCTTTAGTGCCTCCATTGTAATTGATCACAAAAGTACTTAAACTAGAAACACCCTGGGAAGCTTGGTTGGTAATTACTGGCTCAATCATTTCATGTTTTTAAATCAGTTAATTCAGGTATACTCCCACTTCTACCTAGGGTCTCATATATGTTCATGGGAATGGGTTGGGAAGAGAGCACCTGTTTCATGATTGTCCTTTATTCATGTTGGGCCCCTCTGGAATAGAGCGTGCCTCCCTGGACCACAATATCACTCTTAGCAGCAGGATCTATTGCCTTCAGATAGTATGATCCAAGCACCCATCATGCTTTTTAAAGAAGCATAGCCAGGGTAGGGGTCCAAGGCCTGGGAGCCTATAATCAAGGCCCATGCATAACATTCACTCTACTTCTCTCCTTTCTCTCTTCTAAAATATTTCCTCCTATCTTGACTCATCCTCTCCTCCCTGAGTAGTGAACACTTTCCCTGTATGTTTGAGTAATTGTGATGCTCTAGGAAGATGTGCTTATATTTATCTAAGGTCTTCTTGTATCCCCTGGCCCATTACCATATATTCCCAGGTATCTGCATGTTAGAGTAACATAGCCTTAAATAATTCTGGTGGATGAAGAAGGTAGGAAAGAGTATGGCAAGTGGGGGGACTTGAAAGTCAGTGAACTTGGGTTTAGCAGTGAGAATAGCTGGTACACGAGTTATATCAGGTAGACCTAGACAAGGAGACAAGGGGAAAAGTTATGGAAGACTTAGAATCCATGATAAAAATTTGAGCTCATGCTATAAAACGTGAGAATAAAACAGATAAAGAAAATCATTTTAAAGACTACACAGCAAGACAATCACTGATTAATGTTTGGGAATCTGGATGGATAATGTGGATTGGAAGAGTGAGGGCACAGGGACTAGGCTTTGGAGTAGACCAAGGCCCAGCTGGTGTTGTGTCAGCTAAAATGGGAAAGCAAGGAGGGTGTTGAGAAGTGTAATGGAGGAAGTCAGCTGTAATTGATGAATGGTTTTAATGATGTGGAAGAGAGGACAGGGTTGTGAAAGGTAAATAGGACAATTTTGTTCCCTTAACTTCAATGCACTTGTGGGTTTCATGTAAAGATGGGTTCAAAAGCCATTTTGAGATCCTTCTGAGCTATATTGCATCAGAGAGTAAGAAAGCTGGGGTAAATTTTGCTTATTTACCTCCTTTTAGTGGAATTAAGGGAAGTAGGAATTTGATTTATTAGATATCAACATGATTGATTGTCCATTGGGAGTGCAAAATCATTAGTTGAGCCAGAGCCTACTGTAGAAACATAGTCTGGATTGTTCCATGTATAATTACTAGTAAAACTAACACCAGCATTTCAAAGTAAAATACTGATTGAAATTCTGAAATATGACAACAAGTTCATGTTTGAACCTCCTTCTAAGGCAGGGCCACTTGAAATTCATATGCTGATCAGCGAAGTTCTTCAGTGCTTCTCATCTTGCCATTTAAGGCTCATTTTTCCAGGGTTGCAGTGTCTTTCCTGCTAAATCTAAATGCCCAAGAATCATCTTTCAGGGTAGATTCCTATGTGTCCCATTTTTCCCATTTTGCCATTTTTTGGTTATTCTTATAATCTCAGCATAATCCTTTATGACTGATCCCCTTATCCCCTGTAAGTATCCACTTGATCAATTGTATTACTCTGATTATGGATCACCCAGGTATATTTATGTAATGTAAACCTAATGGATTTGGAAAAACATTCATCCTCAAATTATTTTCGAGGTGATTTCTGGAATTATTTCCAAAAACAATCCATGAGAAGAACCAGTTTATAGAATGGCAGTAAGGCAGTGCCAAAATGGCAGGAGTGTATTTGATAATCAAATGCCATTTGTTAAGTGGGTGACCTTGGGAAAACCAGTTAATATTACTAATCTGTGCCTTAATTTGTAATATAGGGAAAATGGATCTCTTATATTTTCTTATTTAGAATATTATGAGGTTTTAATATTATGAAAGTCTCTTGAAATGTGTACCAGGGCATGGTGAGCAAGTAAACATTAATTGTACTTAAGTCCTTTTATTTTTCCCATGCTAGGGATGGAACCCGGGGCCTCCCACATACTAGGCAAATATTTTACCACTGAGCTACATCCCTAGCCTGTACTAAAATCTTAATGTGTGGTTCTTTTCAGATGCATATGCATTTTTCACATTCCTTGACCCCCAAAATTTAAGTCTTCGAAAGCTAATTGTTGACTCTTTCTTGTTATGGTATTCTATTTAACAACAAATCAGAAAAGTCTACTTTTGCACAATAAAAGATATTTTGCTAGAAAGTTAAGGTGCCAAAAACTGAATATGTGACCAAATTATGGAAAACCTCAGTGATTGACAAATACAGTCCCGAGGTATGCTATTTAGATAGCTAAGAACAAGATCTAAATTGTTTATTTTTACAGTGTAGCAAAAGAGAGGTAACAAATGGGACTTCCAAATTCTGATTATTAGCATATTTTAGAACAATGGCTTGTTCTTTTTTATATTTTCAGGTGTTTCCAATGTGGACATTGAAGAGACAATTTCTTATCCTTTTAAACATGATCCTAATTTCCAAACTCCTTGGGGATAGATGGTTTCCAAAAACTTTGCCCTGTGATGTCACTTTGGACGTTCCAAAGAATCAAGTGACTGTGGACTGCACAGACAAGCATTTGACAGAAATTCCTGAAGGTATCCCTGCCAACACCACCAACCTCACCCTCACCATTAATCACATAGCCAGCATCTCCCAAGACTCCTTCCATAGGCTGGACCATCTGATAGAGATTGATTTCAGATGCAATTGCATACCTCCTCGAATGGGGCCAAAAAACAATGTGTGTACCAGGAGGCTGCAGATTAAACCTAAAAGCTTTAATAAACTCACTTATTTAAAATCCCTTTACCTGGATGGAAACCAGCTTCTAGAGATACCTCAGGATCTTCCTCCCAGCTTACAGCTTCTGAGCCTTGAGGCCAATAACATCTTTTTCATCATGAAAGAGAATTTAACAGAACTTGCCAGCATAGAAATGCTCTACCTGGGCCAAAACTGTTATTATCGCAATCCTTGTAATGTTTCATTTTCAATTGAGAAAGATGCCTTCCTAAACCTGACAAATTTAAAAGTGCTCTCCCTGAAAGATAACAACATCACAGCTGTCCCCACTGTTTTGCCATCTAATTTAATAGAACTGTATCTTTACAACAACATCATTACAGAAATCAAAAAAGATGATTTTAGTAACCTCCACCAATTGCAAATTCTTGATCTAAGTGGAAATTGCCCTCGTTGTTATAATGTCCCATTTCCTTGCACACCCTGTGAAAATAATTCCCCCCTAAAGATCCATGATAATGCTTTTGATGCATTAACAGAATTAGAAGTTTTACATCTACACAGTAACTCTCTTCAGAATGTGCCCCCAGCATGGTTTCAAAAAATGAAGAAACTTAAAGAACTAGATCTTTCCCAAAACTTCTTGGCCAAAGAAATTGGGGATGCCAAATTTTTGCATTCTCTCCCCAACCTCATCCAACTGGATCTGTCTTTCAATTATGAACTTCAGGTTTATCAGGCATTTATAAATCTATCAGATGCATTTTCTTCTCTGAAAAAACTAAAGATTCTGCGGATCCAAGGATATGTCTTCAAAGAGCTGACAAGCAGAAATCTCTCTCCATTACGTGATCTTCGTCATCTTGAAGTTCTTGATCTTGGCACTAACTTTATAAAAATCGCTAATCTTAGCATATTTAAACAGTTTGAAGGATTGAAAGTCATAGACCTTTCAATGAATAAAATATCACCTTCAGGAGAAGTTGGCTTCTGCTCTAACTCCAGAAGTTTTGCAGAAAGTCCTTGGCCCCAGGTACTTGAAACATTCCATTATTTCAAATATGATGAGTCTGCAAGGAGTTGCAGGTTCAAAAACAGAGAGGCTCCTTCTTTCTTGCCTTTTAATGAGGATTGCCACATGTATGGGCAGACCTTGGACCTGAGTAGAAATAGTATATTTTTTATCAAGTCTTCTGATTTTAAGCATCTTTCTTTTCTCAAATGCCTTAACTTGTCAGGAAATAACATTGGCCAAACTCTTAATGGCAGTGAATTCCAGCCATTAGTCGAACTAAAATATTTAGACTTCTCTAACAATCGACTTGATTTACTCTATTCAACTGCATTTGAGGAACTTCACAAACTGGAAGTTCTAGACTTAAGTAGCAACAGCCATTATTTTCAATCAGAAGGAATTACTCACATGCTTAACTTTACCAAGAACCTAAAGTTTCTGAAGAGATTGATGATGAATAACAATGGCATCTCTACCTCCACTAGTAGGATCATGGAAAGTGAATCTCTTCAAATTCTGGAATTCAGAGGAAACCATCTGGATGTTTTATGGCGAGATGGTGATAATAGATACTTACAATTCTTCAAGAATCTAATAAACTTAGAGGAATTAGACATCTCTAAAAATTCCCTGAGTTTCTTGCCTCCTGGAGTTTTTGATGGTATGCCTCCAAACCTAAAGACTCTCTTCTTGGCCCAAAATAGGCTTAAATCTTTCAACTGGGGAAGACTTCATCTTCTGAAGAATCTGGAAATTTTGGACCTCAGCCACAACCAATTGATGACTGTCCCAGAGAGATTATCCAACTGTTCCAAAAGTCTCAAGAAACTGATTCTTAAGAATAATCAAATCAGGCATCTGACAAAGTATTTTCTAAAAGATGCTTTCCAGTTGCGATATCTAGATCTCAGTTCAAATAAAATTCAGGTTATCCAGAAGACTAGCTTCCCAGAAAATGTCCTTAACAATCTGCAGATGTTGCTTTTGCACCATAATCGATTTCTGTGCACCTGTGATGCTGTGTGGTTTGTCTGGTGGGTTAATCACACGGAGGTGACTATTCCTTACCTGGCCACAGATGTGACTTGTGTGGGGCCAGGAGCACACAAAGGCCAGAGTGTGGTCTCTCTGGATCTGTATACCTGTGAGTTAGATCTCACTAACTTGATTCTGTTCTCATTTTCCATATCTACAGCTCTCTTTCTGATGGTGGTTATGACAGCAAGTCACCTCTATTTCTGGGATGTGTGGTATTTTTACCATTTCTGTAAGGCCAAGATAAGGGGGTATCAGCGTCTGCTATCAACAGGTTCTTGCTATGATGCTTTTATTGTATATGACACTAAAGATCCAGCTGTGACAGAATGGGTTTTTGAGGAGTTGGTGGCCCAATTAGAAGATCCACGAGAGAAACATTTTAATTTATGTCTGGAGGAGAGAGACTGGCTACCAGGGCAGCCAGTTCTGGAAAATCTTTCCCAGAGCATACAGCTTAGCAAAAAGACAGTGTTTGTGATGACGGACAAGTATGCAAAGACTGAAAATTTCAAGATAGCATTTTACTTGTCCCATCAGAGGCTCATGGATGAAAAAGTAGACGTGATTATCTTGATATTCCTTGAGAAGCCCCTTAAAAAGTCCAAGTTTCTCCAGCTCCGGAAGAGGCTCTGTGGGAGTTCTGTCCTTGAGTGGCCAACAAATCCACAAGCTCACCCATACTTCTGGCAATGTCTGAAAAATGCTTTGACCACTGACAATCATGTGTCCTATAGTCAGTTGTTCAAGGAAACGGCCTAGTTTTTTTTTTTTTTTCAAAATGTGACTAACTTACTCAGGAGATGCCTGGTTGCCTGAATTTTCTCATTAATTTTTCACCACAAGTCTGCTTTGATATTCTCCAAGAATTAGAATTTCCTATGTTGGAGGAAAGTCACCAATGTATGACAAAGAAGTTAGAAAGATGGAATTTATGTAATATATCAAGTCTTCTTTCTTCTTTCTTTGTATCTCCATTTACATTTCAGCTTCTCATATCAACTCTTGTATAAAGTACTTTTGGAAGACAGATGGCAAGGAGAGAACATGAGGCTCTGATTCACCTGCAATTATGATCATTAACTATATGCACAATCTTGAAATTAAGAAGAACCATACTACTACCCTTAAGAAGTTGGCATATGGGCTGGGGCTGTAGCTCAGTGGTAGAGCACTTGCCTAGCATGTATGAGGCACTGGGTTCAATCCTAAGCACCACATAAAAATAAATAAATAAATATATTGTATCCATCTACAACTAAAACGTTTTTAAAAAGATGTTGGCATGTTCAGAAATAGGTAAAAATACTAAATCTCTATGATACCAAACTGTACCAGAGTGAGTTTAGTGAAATAAAAACCCAGTTAACTCCTCAACAAATTGCTTGCTAGTGCCCCTTCTGTGAAGACCAAATGTTGGTACCACACAGACAGTTACTGCTTTTGTATCTCTTGTTCTTGTAGCTTGGGTCTGTTGATGGGTTTCATAGGAAAAGAGAAACATCATTACTATCCATGAACATGGTCTACCTATAGGTGGAAAAATAATTAAAACAATTTACCTTTATGCAAAATGATGTTCTTTACCTTTGATGATAATTTACTTGTGAAGTACTTTTATCTGAACTGCAAAATACTATATCCAAAGTAAATTAGCCTCATCAAATGATCTTTCAAACTACTTTGTTAACTAATACTATATATTTAAAAGTATCTGCAAACTTGATGCACCAATATTATGTGGTCTTGATGGTAAACCCTAAAAGAGGATGAAAAGGGCATGTATTTATAGTTATCAAAGATGACAATTAGATGGTTGACAACTATACAAATTCCTTTTTATTTTTGAAGACAGGAAAAGAAGAATCAGAGGTTGATAAATCTTAACATTGAAAAAGTTTCATTTTCAAAAAGAATCAAAACATTCTTAAGACAAACTGAGTATAAATTCACATGAGTTCAAAGTTTGAAATCTGAAATCTGGCCAACTTGCTTTATTTTATAAAATAAAATTTCTACAAATTTATCTGTGCCATTTGGAAAAATAGCATGCATATATTCAAATCCTAGAGCATTAACTTAAAGAAATTACATTTTCCTCATATGTGAAGGTGCCAAAAGCTGTACTGTAAATGAATGCATACTATGTGAATTAATATAGTATAGTATATAAATTATCATAGTATCTGAATTACTTGCACAAGACATTTAATCGATTAATAGGAGTACACATTCCCAAAGGAATTTTTGGAATGATAGAGAGGTGATTAAGTTGCTAGAGTCAACTATTTCACAGCTTCTAGTAGCTTTGTTGTGCTCAATAGATTTTCCTTTTTTGTGAAAACAAAGATAATGTTGGCTTTGGGCCATTATAAATTTTCTACTATTAAAATATAAAGTCATAAAGATTAAGCTATTTTGGTGATTTATAAAATCATAAGTCACTTGAAGACAATTTAAACATCTTCTGAAATGGATTAAGAAGAAGAGAAACTAAAAAAATAAGACAACTCAGAAACCACAGCTTCTTTTGACATGAAGTTAAGTACGGTGGTTTGATGCAGAGAAAACAACCAAGAGCACACCAATCATGTTTTTTGTTTAATTCCTTTATGACTTTGACAAGTCACACTTTTAAATGAGGGCCCTCTGTGAAGTTTTGTGAGGCTGGAGCTGTCCATGGATGGCTCTGATCAAAAGCCATCACCTCAAGGTTCCAAGAGAACATGACTCCTAGGTCCCTCCATAAAGCTCAGAATAAAGAGCTTCTCTGCTGACCCACCTCTGGTTGGTTCTACCCCAGAAGGGACTCCTAACTTTTCCATAAATCCTGCTCCACCATCAATATTTGGCCCCCAGGTCCTTTCAGCTCTGTGCCTGCAAAGGTTTGTTCTTCCTGCTCGGATAAATGCTGCACCTGAGCAAGACTTAGACATTTTTAGGATTCAAGCCAAGGGATACGTTGGGCAGGGCATATATTACAGTTGAGGGAAAAGCAAAACAAGTGTCTAAAGTTTTTAGGGGAGAGAAAAGATGAATTTGATTGTAGGCCTATTTCTAAGTCAGGTTCTCTGGGTCCCAGCATCCTGTTTACTTCCAGTAATATCTGCCTGAATCCTCTTAGGTCCAGATGGTCTCTCAATTGTAGTCATGGAGTATAGAGTACATGAAGGGATGTAGTGATCTGAAAATGTGGACATCTTGTTTAATCTCCTAGGAAGCTGTGGTAAAGGTAACAAGGACACACACTCTTCTTTTGAGGACGTCTTTTCCCCTTCCATAAAACATGCCTTTTGTTTACTTCCTTTTCATCCTAATCCAGGTAAATGAGAAATCCAGGATGCATATCCTGCTAGTTATTTATGGTCCAATTATTAAATGGGGGTGGAGCTGAGGTTGGAGTTTTTCCTATACCTCATCTGCACATGCTCAGTAAGAAGAGAAAATTGACTTGGGAAATCACTCCTGCTTGGAATTTTGAGGTGCCAGGTCCCAGAAGCAGTTAGTTATGGGACATGCTGCCAGTTGTATTTGATGAAAGGTTGAGTGCTTCGCCCTAAGGAACATTGGGAACTTATTTGTAGCATCTGAAACATAAATAGCCAGCTGTGTGGGAGGAAAACAACCAAATATGATTGAGGAGACTCAAAAGTTTAAGGACACCAAGCAGAATTAATCCATTTAATTGAGTTAATCTAATGAAGAAAACATGAAACCAACCTATTTACCAACCAACACATTGAAGGGGAATCATGTAGGAGAAAAATTCCCAAGCCCACAAAAAGATTGTAAGGAAAAAAGCCCTGGTGACATAGGGGCCATCCATGCTGGTGAGAATGGAATTATAACAGGGCATTTTTATGCAGTTCTATGTTTTCTTTCTTTCCCACCATCCTTTTTCCTCCCCTTCCCTCTCACTTTCTTTTTGGCTATAGACACACACAGCAAGCCTCATGAAATGCACAAGAATGAAAAGAAGGCAGCTATACTTGCAGGTGGATTCTTCTGTTTGGAAAGGTGGTCACGTGTGTACTTTTGGTTTAAAACCTCTCTTTCCTCACATACACAGAATAAATCCCCACCTGCTTCAGTGAGCATGACCTTCTATAATTGGCTTGGTGAAAACTTCCTGGGTGACATTGGCTAGATTTTCTGCCACATTCAAATTCATATTTTTCTACTTTCAAGCATGGGAGGTAAGAAACTGGATATGAACTGGTGCTCTGCCTTGAGGATTGCCCTAATCTCAGATTTTAATTCTTTTCTAACATGTTTGTCATGACATTTCAGTGATTTCATTTCTTCATATGTTTATCCTTGCCCCTTCTTGATGACTTATATTAATTAAAAGTTTTAGAAGTGTGCAGAGTTAAACTAACTGTGGAGGTTTGAGTCACAGTATCTAACAACAAGCACCCTCTGGAAACAGTCTGGTGGGATCTGGAGAGGAAAAAGGAAGTCCTACTGCCCTTGTGGCAGTTTTCAAATATCCCTTAGTGCCCACCACTGGGCAGGGGGAGGAAGGCAGTTTCTTCCACAGACAACAAATGGCTCTTAATGTTCTTCTGGTTGATGATGACTCCCAAGGCTAAACCTAGACAGAAATGGCCAACTTGGATGCCACACTGCTCTTTCATGATACACATGATGGCTTAACATCACCGGTGAAGGTAGCACAGTGGAATATAGATTCCAGGGACTTTTGTAACAGTGAATTGCATGAATTGACATCTTGAGCAAACTTTGTAGTAACATCTACATGAACCCATTTTTGAGGCCCATTGTCCAGGGGGACCACACTGTTAAGATCTCTTAAGCTGTTTTGGGAGTTAGGGCTTGGCTGTTGTCCGGCTGTTGCTCTGAGATTGTGAATAACATCTCTGGGCAAGGTTTTAGTGGGACCCAACACACAGGACTTAGATACCTGGTGTTATGCATTAAACAAAATAGCTTTCAGCTTCTATCTCTCATTTTTAGGACTGAATTTGCCACAACGTAGTTGCCTTTGGATTGAGGCATCATAACCAAAGTTCTCAGTTAACTTATAGCCTACCAAGGATTATCCTAACACAGTGTACTTAATCATTAGTTGATTATTTTATGAGATGATTAACTCTTCAGAACAGGTCACCTAAGAAAACTGGACACTGGAAGAACATTTTGAATGGGGAGGTGCATTTTAAAATAATCCCAATTTGGGTTCCTACTCATGAGAGCAGATCCACAAAGGAACTGACAGACAAGGAGAAACTGAGGAGGATTTTAGGAAGACAGATGCAATATGAAGTCTCTGGGACCCCAACAATGTTATTGAGTGGGGGGAAGTCACATATATTATGCAGCAAATGCAAATTAAAGTTTAATTTATTCCATTAAATCTTCGTATCGCCTCTACGAGGCTAGTATCTTCAGTACCTTCATCTTAAGCATGATGGGTTAACTCAGAGATGAAGGGGCATTAGAAAATGAGCATTAGCTGCCCAAGGTCACAGAGAAACTAAGTGATAACACTAAAGAATTGATCTAACTTTGTCCAAAAGGTCCTATTGCATCTTGAATTCTACCAGGAGCTGATATCAACTAAGGAGCTTGGAAATCATGTAGATTCCAAGTCCCCACACCAGAGATTCTGATAACTAGGCTCAGGAATCTACATTTCTAAAACTAGTGTAGGTATATATGAAGCAGCTCACCTGCAAAGCAATTTTGGAAGACCAATCCCCCAACGTATGTTCAATTATTCTTTTTCCTTCTGTGTATAAACCTTGGTGCTTGTAGTCCATTGCCAGGGAGTAGAGTTTCACTTGAACTCCAATTGTTCCCCACTGGAAACCTTTGGTGGGGGACTATAATTTAGGTATGACTTGCAATTATGTTCAAGGCTAAAATGTGAAGATAACCTGGACAAAAACATTGGTGCTAGTTTAGGCAGAGAAAAGGGCAGATTCAGGGTAACTGAATCTCAGTCCCATAATTCCTGATAAATGGAGCTACTACTTACAATTAAGGTGGGAAAGGGTATTTTTACCATATTTTTTTCCAAATGTCTTACTGAATGAGTACATACCAGATGTGGTTCTACATATATGTCACAGGGTGCCATCTAGTGGAACGTGAAGCCCTTCATGGGTGCTAATGCTCTGCTTCTAAGACCTTATCTGGGTCTCCAAACTGGGATCTGGAAAGAAAATACTGTGTAAGAACAGATATAATCATCTTTTCGAAAATGTTTGTGGCTACTTTTATCATATATCCAGTGTATTAGTACAGAAATTAATAACACATATATCCAGTGTATAATTACAGTAGGGGTGTGTGTTAAATATTGTTGACTTGTGGGGAGACAACATAAAAGGGTGAAGACAACACACCATCAAGGCTTGGTTTCTCCTACTTATTTCCAAGGTTTTTGCTTGATGTCTCAAGATGGAGCTGATCATGCATGTCCCTTTGCCCACACAGATATAGATGAGTAACTAAGTTAACTACATGAGTGGCCCTCTTTTCCCCTACAACACTTTTCCCTTTTTTTTTTTTTTTTTACAGAACATGCTCCCCCGATATTAAACTGTGGTGGAGAATCAATAGAACCCCTCTTTCATATTCACTTCTTGAGTGCACTCTCTCATATTTCTGAACAATCCAATCATTAACACTCCTCTCCTACCACTAACTCCCACCACTCTAGAAATGGCATTTTGGAAGCCTGCTGTAGCTTGACGGTGTCTGAGGGTTAGTAAACTTTTTCATCCTCCTCCGTGCCAGTTCATGACAATGGGATGGGCTTGATCAAGCTGAATGGGCTTGATGCTTAGATGTTTCCTGCCTGCTTCCTGAAAAGTTAATCAAGTCAAAGATGATGGAATGCTCACTTGCTGAAACTGTATGTGTGTGTGTGTGTGTGTGTGTATCCACATATTTATTATATAATTGTATATGTATCTGTACATATATGTTTGTGTATATATGCATATGTAGTTATGCAAGTATGTATATATTTGTGTTTGTCTGTGTGTATTAGAATCA